TCTCTAATCCCTATTTGGCTATCAGTAAACTACAAAAGTATATACTATTTATCTCTAGTGTATTCATGTTTACTTGTTATATGCGTAATTTAGACATTGATTTGAGGGATATTTTAGTTTATGTTTTACAACAAAATACGTGGGTAATTCAGATGCAAATTAACGGGGTTGCTTTATATTATCTTTTATAATATCAAATATGGGTAATTCAAATGGAAATATACGGGTTACTATAAAATTATCATCATTAATGATAAAGTTGGTAGTTTAGATACAAATATAGAGGGCTATTAATGTTTTTTCAATGGCAAAAGTGGGTAATTTTTTAGGAAACATAATAGATCCAATGGTTGCCAATCTCTATGAGCCAAACGAATTGAGGGCCAAACGTTTCTAATTGTTATGATAATTTCTTGCATTTATCTTTTTTCTCAACCCATCTTGCAAGTAATAATTCGGAGGCTCTGCCGGGGACCACCCATTAGTAATATTAAGATATATATGTGTTATTAACCATTGCCTTGCAACTGAGTTGGTCTTTAATATGTATTTAGTTAACACCTAAGCTTAAGTATGTCAACTCTTTGTTGGATATTTTTTATAACATCATGAATATATATTTTTGTTTTTCACTTTTGATCTTATTAGTTGTTACAATTTTTTATGTACATGCTAAGTCGAAACTCTTAACACTTATTGTGTATTTTATTGAAAAATCCTTTTCTATTTTATTAAAAAGTGGATTCTAGATCCTAGACTACACTCTTAGTTACACTCTTAGCCATTTCAACATGAACCTAGGCAGTCAAGATGTTGACTTTATTTACTATAATAAAGAATTTTATGTGTATTAGTATCGTTTCAAAAGAATATATAGAGTTTTAGGAAGTAAAATACTAGTATTGATATGTCATAATGTTTCAATCAAAATTCATATACTTATCTGAAGTAACAACTTATAATTTATTATTGTTATGGAGTATATTACTATAATTTAACTTGTAAGTGACATTGGTATGTGGTTTGTCGATTGAGACATTTTTTTTAAATAAGCATGTATCCTGCTGTATGCATATTTACTTGGTATACATGATGGTAGCATTTTCTTTATGGTACTTGAGTTATTTTCTATAGTGGCTTATATTGCTATTTAGACATAGATTTGTGGGATTTTGTTAGAAGAACAAAGATTGCTAATTTAGATACAAAAATTAAAGAGTTATTTTATATTATTTTTCATAAATGACAGATGTGACTAATTGAAAAGAAAATTTAAGGAGTTACTTTGCTTTATCTTTCACAATGGTAGAGTGAATTAGATGCGAGTTTAGGGGTTACTTTAAATTATCGTTTATAATAGTAGAGGTTGGTAATTTAGATGCAAATCAAGGGGTTAATTTATGTATTTCTTTTTATAATGGCAGAGATAGGTAGTTTAGATGCAAATCTAAGGTGTTACTTTATGTATTTTCATTGTGATAGAAGTGGGTAATATTTAAAAAATGGGATAGATCCCATGAATATTATTAACAATATAATTAGATCCTACCAGATTAAAGGTCATATGTTTTTAATTTTTTTGATAAATTTAAAATTTACCTTTTTTTTTCTAATGTGTCTTATGAAGATTAATGTGGAGTATCCAATTATTAATATTAAGATTGATTGACTTGGCAATTTTTAGACATTGAGAGCAAACGTAGAGGCTTATTTTTCTTGTCCATGTAGTAAGACAAGACAATGAACTTTGGTAAGGCTAGTTCCCACCTCCAGGTCAGCTATGAAATAACACAAGACTCAAATAAGAAACTTATACCCATTTTGTGATTTGAAATACAAATAAAATAACTGATTAATTAAAGACCTCATGTATCACAGCTCGTGGCCACAAAATTAAGGAGGTAATAACGAATTCTTGTGTTTGAGTTGTCGTATATAAGTCAAGCTATCCTAATTTGGCCATTTTAAAAAAAAAAAACAATGATATTGATGATATCAAATGGGCGTCATTGGATGTACTATAAATATTTATATTTTTATAGTTTACTTTTAAACGTAGTAGATGTTACTACTGTCTCTATAAACTTGATTAGGACAAACTCAAAGGTCCTTATATTAATTTATTTAAGATATATATATAGAGAGTGTGCTCACTTTTCTTTCACCCCCGTGTCAGATTACTGTAGCCATCTACGTGTTCCGCAAGTCATGGTCAGGGGAGAAGAGATTATTGCAGGTCGCAATCTTGATCTTTGTTCCCGGTATTCTCAAATGCTTGGAGAAGCCATTCGCTCTCAAGAGCGCTAGCATCCACAGCATTGGGGACACCTCCAACAAGACATGGGTGGAGAGGATGTTCGAAGACGAGAGTAAGGATAACGACGACATCAAATCGCTGGACGACTATGTGGAAGCTGCATCTAGGTACGTTCAGGGGGACCACGCAGGCGAAACGGCTGAAACGGGAGTGAATGACAAGCCCTACAACTCTGATCGGCTTAAGAATCTAAAGTACATGATGCAAAAAAAAAAAAAACAAAGCGCATCGTCGGCTGCGGTCCCGCCTCTCCAACACCTTCGATCGCCTCTACACCAAGCACGAAATGAGCAGTCGTTTGAACATCAGTGACTTGACCAGCAAAAGTTATTATTGGGGTAATCTGCTACGGGCCGTGGTTGTGTATCTGACGTTTGCGGCCATTGCGCTCTTCCACAAGAGCCATAGAGAAAACTACGACGACACCGACGTCAAGATCACCTACACTTTGCTGTGCTGCACCGCCGCTCTGGAGTTCATTATACCCGGCATCCAGCCGGACGCAACTTGGCCTGACCTTGTTGCCCAGTACAATCTCCTATGGTACTTGGTCCGCAACAGGAAGCACAGGAGGCTCAGGAGCCTCCTGCTGATCTGCAGGGACTACATCGACCAAATCTGGTGCATGAAGCCGTGCCAGTCTTCCAGCGACATCACCGAGCTCGTCTTCGACCATGTCGTCGTCCATGGGTGGACGGAGAGCATCAAGGACGCGGCCACCTTCCATGAGTTCAACAACAACCGGGGCCAGCTGACTCTCCAGCGCAAGGGCTGCACTGGGGGCATGCCGCTGCAGAGCCTGCGGAGGCCATTTGACGAGTCCGTCGTCCTCTGGCACCTCGCCACGGATTTCTGCTTCTTCCGCCCCATGGATGACGCCGCCGCAGGCAAGTCAGCCACCCCTTCCAGCCATGGACATGATGAAGGAGACGCCGCCCGCCGCCGCAGCAGCAGGGAGATCTCCAACTACATGGCCTACCTGCTGTTCACCAACCCAGAGATGCTGATGCCCGGCTCCAGGCGGAGCCTGTTCAAGGACGCCTACGAGAAGCTCAATAAAATGGCCGGGGACGAGGACGACAGCGCCTCGTCACCAATTCCAAATGGGACGGTACCCACACAGAAGGAGACGAAGAAGCCGTCACTGCTGGACGAGCAACAGATGATTGCCTCTCAGATCATGCAGAAGCTGCAGAGCGCCAAGGAGGGTTCAGAAGGTTTGGTTCTTAACGCCTGGGTCCTCGCCCAAAAGCTCATGGATATAACAGGCAAGGAAGGGGAGGCGAAGATGTGGAGTGTGATCCAGGGCGTGTGGGTGGAGATGCTCTGCTTCTCTGCCGGCAGGTGCCGAGGTTTTCTGCATGCCAAGAGCCTAGGCAAGGGTGGAGAGTACCTCTCCTACGTCTGGATGCTCATGTCCTTCCTTGGCATGGAGACACTGGCGGAGAGGCTGCAGAGGACGGAGCTGCACGTGCAGGGAGACATGGGCGCCACCCGCCCGATGACGCCGGCTGCATCTGAGATGCCAACGCCAACCGGCAGCGACAATGTTTGACTGGCAAAACGGTGCGCACGAAGAAGCATTGGAGACCCTCCGTATATATTATCTGCCATCCTGGTTTCCTTTAATTTTCTGCATGGACGTACGGCATTTATTTCTTCTGTCTGTCTCTTCCAAGTTCCAATCACATGTATAATGTATGTGTTGTTGTCTTGATCGCTGGTATCGCAGCTACGGCTGCTACTTCCTTTTGTGTTCTGCCTGCTGGTGGCTCATCTGCTACCGCAACTGTTGTTCCTCTTGTGAAGGCGATCAACAAAGGTTATGCTTTGAAAAAAAATCGAATCATTGCCTCATAAATAGAGGTTGCTGGTTAGTCTCTCCCTACATGTGGCCAGGCCCTTAGCGTGCGGTGGACGCCACGAGGACAACTCCACTCTGACGATCAACTCTAGGCTCCAGCAAAGGATGTTAGGGATGGTTTTAGAACTTTCGGCTACGATCAGCGACGAGGTATGACACCCAGCGCGACCACCAGTCAAAGACTAGGATACGAACCCCTAGAACCCCCCCCCCGCGGAGCCATCGAATGATCAGATCCCAAATCGAGCGATCAAACCCAAGATCGTTAGCATAGGGTGTGTGTTTTGTAAAAACTTGATTGAGCATTCTAACACAAAGACCACCATTGTTGGACGTAGGGCTTAGATGCTCGAACCAAGATAAACCCTTTGTGTCGAGGGTGAGGTGCATGTGTGCGTCAGAGTGAGACGGACGGATGCGGGCTGCGCGGGCGTCTGGACACGTGCGTCCGTCCGGACATCCGGGCGCTAGCCACGCCGTATATTAAAAGAAGCGTCTCAAAATTTCTGTGCTGTATGAGAACCTTGTTAAGCTTCTTTGTTTAAAGCTCGGCTGATGACTTGAGTATCGGAAAAAACAAGTCTTGTAAAACAAAAAAGAGATATGTACATCTTACAAAAGAGGCGCATGCACTCAAGAACAAGTACCACAACACGGCAGGCACAGCTAGCTTAGAGCACGTGTGACAGAAGCCATCATCCGATACGTCCTTAGAGCTAACACCATTTAAAGAGAGGAGCGGCGAAGGAGGATGGACATCTCCAGCAGTTCTAGAGCTGAGACTTCACAATATCCAATAGTGTGTAGGGTGATTCGATCATGGCTTTCTCAGATGCAGTGCAGTGGTGGGAGGAGCGGCAGTTGCGCATCCTTGTCCTATGCAGCCTCTTCCTTCAATACTTCCTCTTCATCGCCGCATCCTTGCGTAAGCGTTGTGTCCCTGCTTGGTTCAAATTCTTAACCTGGCTCGCCTACCTAGCGAGCGATGCCGTAGCTATATACGCACTTGCCACCCTATTCAATCGTCACAAAAGGCAAGAATGGCTATCCACGCACCGCAGTAGCGCTAGCTTGGAGGTGTTGTGGGCACCTATACTTTTGCTGCACCTTGGTGGGCAAGATGGCATAACGGCCTATAACATCGAGGACAATGAGCTGTGGGGGCGTCATATTCTAACTGCCGTGTCTCAGGTTGGTGAAACAACATCAAATATATATCTTTGTATTAAATTTCAAATTCGATGTTTCAGTATTTTGTTTTGTGTTAAACAAAGGATGATCTGTGCAATCGCATGCCTAGTACCAACAATTTCATCATAAATTTCATACTCTTGGTACACCTATGCATGTTATTACTGTTGCATCATCCTAACTTTATCATAAATTGAGCAAAGAAAATGTTGACGTCTCTCTTATTAACCAAATAGTAATATAACTAGGCATGAACCCATGCTTCAGCACGATCTAGAATCTGAGATCACAAAAGTACGTTACAGATTGAAAGTTTCGATAAATTTATCATATACAAAATTCATAGATACTCTCTTATCCCTATTTGGCGATCAGTAAACTACAAAAGTATATACTATTTATCTCTAGTGTATTCATGTTTACTTGTTATATGCGCAATTTAGACATTGATTCAAGGGATATTTTAGTTTATGTTTTACAACAAAATACGTGGGTAATTCAGATGCAAATTAACGGGGTTGCTTTATATTATCTTTTATAATATCAAATATGGGTAATTGAAATGGAAATATATGGGTTACTATAAAATTATCTTCATTAATGATAAAGTTGGTAGTTTAGATAGAAATATAGAGGGCTATTAATGTTTTTTCAATGGCAAAAGTAGGTAATTTTTTAGGAAACATAATAGATCCAATGGTTGCCAATCTCTATGAGCCAAACGAATTGAGGGCCAAACGTTTCTAATTGTGATGATAATTTCTAGCATTTATCTTTTTTCTCAACCCATCTTGCAAGTATTAATTCAAGTATTAATTCGGAGGCTCTCCCGGGGGACCACCCATTAGTAATATTAAGATATATATGTGTTATTAACCATTGCATTGCAACTGAGTTGGTCTTTAATATGTATTTAGTTAACACCTAGGCTTAAGTATGTCAACTCTTTGTTGGATATTTTTTATAACATCATGAATATATATTTTTGTTTTTCACTTTTGATCTTATTAGTTGTTACAATTTTTTATGTACATGCTAAGTCGAAATTCTTAACACTTATTGTGTATTTTATTGAAAAATCCTTTTCTATTTTATTAAAAAGTGGATTCTAGATCCTAGACTACACTCTTAGTTACACTCTTAGCCATTTCAACATGAACCTAGGCAGTCAAGATGTTGACTTTATTTATTATAACAAAGAATTTTATGTGTATTAGTATTGTTTCAAAAGAATATATAGAGTTTTAGGAAGTAAATTACTAGTATTGATATGTCATAATATTTCAATCAAAATTCATATACTTATCTGAAGTAACAACTTATAAAATTTATTGTTATGGAGTATATTACTATAATTTAACTTGTAAGTGACATTGGTATGTGGTTTGTCGACGAGACATTTTTTAAATAAGCAGGTATCCTGCTGTATACATATTTACTTGGTATACATGATGGTAGCATTTTCTTTATGGTACTTGAGTTATTTTCTATAGTGGCTTATATTGCTATTTAGACATAGATTTGTGGGATTTTGTTAGAAGAACAAAGATTGATAATTTAGATACAAAAATTAAAGAGTTATTTTATATTATTTTTCATAAATGACAGATGTGACTAATTGAAAAGAAAATTGAAGGAGTTACTTTGCTTTATCTTTCACAATGGTAGAGTGAATTAGATGCGAGTTTAGGGGTTACTTTAAATTATCGTTTATAATAGTAGAGGTTGGTAATTTAGATGCAAATCAAGGGGTTAATTTATGTATTTCTTTTTATAATGGCAGAGGTAGGTAGTTTAGATGCAAACCTAAGGTGTTACTTTATGTATTTTCATTATGACAGAAGTGGGTAGTATTTAAAAAATGGGATAGATCCCATGAATATTATTAACAATATAATTAGATGCTACCAGATTAAAGGTCATATGTTTTTAATTTTTTTGATAAATTTAAAATTTACCTATTTTTTTTCTAATGTGTCTTATGAAGATTAATGTGGAGTATCCAATTATTAATATTAAGATTGACTGACTAGGCAATTTTTAGACATTGAGAGCAAACGTAGAGGCTTATGTTTCTTGTCCATGTAGTAAGACAAGACAATGAACTTTGGTAAGGCTAGTTCCCACCTCCACGTCAGCTATGAAATAACACAAGACTCAAATTAGAAACTTATACCCATTTTGTGATTTGAAATACAAATAAAATAACTGATTAATTAAAGACCTCATGTATCACAGCTCGTGGCCACAAAATTAAGGAGGTAATAACGAATTCTTGTGTTTGAGTTGTCGTATATAAGTCAAGCTATCCTAATTTGGCCATTTAAAAAAAACAATGATATTGATGATATCAAATGGGCATCATTGGATGTACTATAAATATTTATATTTTGATAGTTTACTTTTAAACGTAGTAGATGTTACTACTGCCTCTATAAACTTGATTAAATTTAAGATATATAGTTTAACTTAGGACAAACTTAAAGGTCCTTATATTAATTTATTTAAGATATATAGAGAGAGTGTGCTCACTTTTCTTTCACCCCCTGTGTTAGATTACTGTGGCCATCTACGTGTTCCGCAAGTCATGGCCAGGGGAGAAGAGATTATTGCAGGCCGCAATCTTGATCTTTGTTCCCGGTATTCTCAAATGCTTGGAGAAGCCATACGCTCTCAAGAGCGCTAGCATCCACAGCATTGGGGACACCTCCAACAAGAAGACATGGGTGGAGAGGATGTTCGAAGAGGAGAGTAAGGACAACGACGACATCAAATCGCTGGACGACTATGTGAAAGCTGCATCTAAGTACGTTCAGGGGGATCATGCAGGCGAAACACCTGAAACGGGAGTGAATGAGAAGCCCTACAACCTATTCGTAGACCTTGCCTTCCCTTACTCTGATCGGCTTAAGAATCTAAAGTACATGATGCAAGAAAAAAACAAAGCGCATCGTCGGCTGCGGTCCCGCCTCTCCAACACCTTCGATCGCCTCTACACCAAGCACCAAATGAGCAGTGGTTTGAACATCTGTGACTTGACCTGCAAAAGTTTTTGGGGTAATGAGCTACGGAGCGTGGTTGTCTATCTGACGTTTGCGGCCATTGCGCTCTTCCACAAGAGCCATAGAGAAAACTACGACGACACCGACGTCAAGATCACCTACACTTTGCTGTGCTGCACCGCCGCTCTGGAGTACATTATATCCGGCATCAAGCCGTGCGTTGATTTCATCGAGAGAATCAACAGGAGACTCAGGAGCCTTGACCCGACTTGGCCTGACCTTGTTGCCCAGTACAATCTCCTATGGTACTTGGCCCGCAGCAGGAAGCACAGGAGGCTCAGGAGGCTCCTGCTGATCTGCAGGGACTCCATCGACGAAATCTGGTGCATGAAGCCGTGCCAGTCTTCCAGCGACGACATCACCGAGCTCGTCTTCGACCATGTCGTCAACCATGGGTGGAAGAACCGCATCAAGGACGCGGCCACCTTCCATGAGTTCAACAACAACCGGGGCCAGCAGACTCTCCAGCGCGAGGGCTGCAACGCGGGCATGCCGCTGGAGAGCCTGCAGAGGCCATTCGATGAGAGTGTCATCCTCTGGCACCTCGCCACCGATTTCTGCTTCTTCCACCACGGCATGGACGCCGCAGGCAAGTCAGCTTCCGGCGGCCATGGAGATGGAGACGCCCGCCGCCGCCGCAGCAGGGAGATCTCCAACTACATGGCCTACCTGCTGTTCACCAACCCAGAGATGCTGATGCCCGGCTCCAGGCGGAGCCTGTTCAAGAACGCCTACGAGAAGCTCAATAAAATGGCCGGGGACAAGGACGACAGCACCTCGTCACCAATTCCAAATGAGACGGTACCCACACAGAAGAAGAAGAAGAAGCCGTCACTGCTGGACGAGCAACAGATGATTGCCTCTCAGATCATGCAGAAGCTGCAGAGCGACAAGGAGGGTTCAGAAGGTTTGGTTCTTGACGCCTGGGTCCTCGCCCAGGAGCTCATGGGTATAGCAGCAGGCAAGGAGAAGATGTGGAGGGTGATCCAGGGCGTGTGGGTGGAGATGCTCTGCTTCTCTGCCGGCAGTTGCCGAGGTTATCTGCATGCCAAGAGCCTAGGCAAGGGTGGGGAGTACCTCTCCTACGTCTGGATGCTCATGTCCTTCCTTGGCATGGAGACACTGGCGGAGAGGCTGCAGAGGACGGAGCTGCACGTGCAGGGAGACATGGGCGCCACCCGCCCGATGACGCCGGCTGCATCTGAGATGCCAACGCCAACCGGCAGCGACAATGTTTGACTGGCAAAACGGTGCGCACGAAGAAGTATTGGACGTATATATTGTCTGCCATCCTGGTTTCCTTTAATTTTCTGCATGGACGTACGGCACTTGTTTCTTCTGTCTGTCTCTTCCAAGTTCCAATCTCATGTATAATGTATGTGTTGTGGTCTTGATCGCTGGTATCGCAGCTACGGCTGCTACTTCCTTTTGTGTTCTGCCTGCTGGTGGCTCATCTGCTACCGCAACTGTTGTTCCTCTTGTGAAGGCGATCAACAATGGTTATGCTTTGAAAAAAAAATCGAATCATTGCCTCATAAATAGAGGCTGCTGGTTAGTCTCTCCCTACATGTGGCCAGGCCCTATGCTTTGAAAAAAAAAGGAACTGTTGCCTCGTAAATAGAGGTTGCTGGTTAGTCTCTCCCTACATGTGACCAGGCCCTTAGCGTGCGGTGGACGCCACGAGGACAACACGATGGCAACTCCACCTCTGACGATCAACTCTTGGCTCCAGCAGAGGATGTTAGGGATGGTTTAGAACCTTCGGCTACGATCAGCGACGAGGTATGACACCCAGCGCGACCACCAATCAAAGACTAGGATACGAAACCCTAGAACCCCCCCGCCCCCCCGAGCCATGCTTCTTTGTAAAACCATTGCCCTCCGGTATATAAGGTGGGGCATGGGCTCCTATCAAAGGGATCGACCTATGAAGCTATCGAATGATCGGATCCCAAATCGAGCGATCAAAACCAAGATCATTAGCATAGGGCTCCCCTTGTGTGTGTATATGTGTGTTGTAAGAACTTGATTGAGCATTCTAACACGAAGACAACCGTTGTTGGACGTAGGGCTTAGACGCTCGAACCAAGATAAACCCTTTATGTCTTGAGTGCTAAGCCACTGAAGTCCCTAGTATCAACCCACGATCGAATCACTAATCACTGTTGCGGAATCGAACCCACGACAATATCCTCAGATTTAGGACGCCCTGTCCCATAAAATCGAGGGGATGGGTTGTCCCCTTCGCACATCGTTGTTGGTCCATCTGGCACAGTCATAGAGACAAGATTGGGGTTGACACAGGTGTGTGAGCCCTTGTGGTGCGCGAGTAGACCCGAAGTTGAGGGCAAGGCGAAGGGAAGCGGTGAAGGTCTCGGTGCTCCCTTGGCTGCAAGGCAGGACGGTGGCTAGCGTCAGAGTCTTAAACGACCCCCAAGCTTCAAGATTCAAAGATGGCAGCCAAGCTTCGAGATGTGGGGCAGTTGAGGGTGGGAACAGATGTGGCGGCTGGGAACAACGTCGGATGTGTTGGGTTGTGTTGGTGAGGGTGGCGGTGGGTATAGCATCGGGAGAGGGGGTTCATTGCTATAGGAGGGGATGACCGGAGTGTCAGTCAAAATCTGGTGGTAGACGAGGCAAAATCGGGTGGCAGACGAGGCAGAGGAACAGTGGGGGAAAGGTGGAAGATAATCATAGAGAATGATTGGTGGGCCCCATAGATGGCATGCATGGCCCAAGTGTGCGCCAACGGCATAAAAAACTACACCCTGCCTATTATTTTATCTCTCCAACCAAAAAAAGTAGGATCGACTCCATATCTCAAACTAAACAGCAAAATGGGACCAACCCAAGCCCAAGATCAGGGAAAGAACCATTAGATCCCCTAAAGTCCCCGAACTGGTAGTGCGATGTACAGAAATCCGGACCGCACCCACACCAAACCATTCCATCAACGACCAGAGAGCCAACCCAATGCACCCCGCTGGTCCACCTCAATAAACCAAACTGATCCAGCCTGTCAGTCTCTTGGGCCCGAAAAAAGCGAGTGGGTCTGTACTGTTAGTGAGTGGGTCTGTGCTTTGTACGTTTTCTAGGTAGCAATTTAAACATAGAAAGTTTGACAAATCATAAAATGAACACGAAATTAAAAGGATCCAAAGAATTATAAAACTTGAAACCAGAAAATAATTTAGTTTATGAACTAGACTAGGCATTTAACAAAACAGAGAAAAATCACATATTATCTAGCCTCCATATATTACAGAAATTCAAGTCTTCATCATATTTAGCCTCCATATATTACAGAATTTTGAGTATTTCACCACTGTTTTTGTCCAAAAAAAAACTTCTGCTTCCTTCTCTTAATCTCCATGACCAGAAACATAAAACTGCCACATTCAGCCATTGAATATTTTCAGTTGGTTGCATGTATTTTTAAGAGGTTTTCAGTCAGCTATTTTTTCCACAATGTCACAATTCTATTTTTTCCACAAGTCAGTGCTAGAGGTCTAGCTCTACTGCTCAAACCAATAAATCTAAAAAACAATTCTAAAAGAGCATATGAATGAGCTTTTTTCCACAATATCACAATTCTAAAAAACAAATTTTGTTATCATGAATAAATCAAGTTGCCTAGAACAGGATGAACCCTTTGCCACATCCTAATAAAATCAAAGAACTTGCACTATTGAAGTTGTACCATCGTTAATTACCACAAAATGCACCCTCTGCCTATACTAGAGACAGATATACTAATAATTTATTTCAGATGCCAGAAAACAATAAAAACACAAATCCAACAACTTCCATCAAGTTGGAAGCAATCTCAGCATCCAACCCCAACTCATTCCTACAGTCCTACTCCTTATCTGCCAACTTCACAATACAACACATTGACTAGTATCCAGTAATAGTAAATATATAGCAGAGAAGATCCCTGAGGTATTATAGCCATAACAACTATGAGTGTGTCATTGAGATCCAAGCCCACAGCTTAGAGACACTTTCTGACAGCCAGAAATCCATGCACAACAGAAAGCAGTAGAATTGTACCAATCATGGGCGATCAACATACCTGCTAGGCTGCTACTGCTCGTGCTAGCCCTCTTCAGGTTCTAGATGTTGGCCTAAAAAATAAAAGTTTGTTCAGTTTACTAGAACAGAACATTTGTTTAAGGTGGCACAATGACAGCTAATCAAAGCTAACAATAATAGCAGCACAATATAGAATATACAGTAATGAAAGCTAACAATAATAACAGCACAGAGTATACATTTTTTTAATGTATAGACCTTGAAAACATACCTGCTACTGCTAGAGCCCTCTTCAAGTTCCAGACCTTCATGTTCCAGATCTTGATCTGAAAAATGAAATTTTGATTAGTTACCAGGAAAGAAAACTATACAGCAAGATGTCCCATAGAAAAGGCTTTGTACCTTCAGCAGTCTTGAATAGCCAAATTTTAGCACATACAAGCGCCTCGAGCATTTCCGGCATTAGTGAGCTTCTACGTTCTCCAAGAATTCTTTCTCGTAAACTAAAAGCAGATTCCGATGAAACTGTGCTAAGGGGAATAGCAAGGAAGTCTCGAACCATAGTTGACAATACAGGAAACTTGTCTGATCTGCTCTTCCACCATGTTAGGATATCAAAATCATCATTATCCCCCTCAAGTGGTTCTTCTAAATATGTATCGATTTCAGATTTTCGTGCCTGTGCAACTCTTAGTCGTGTTGTGTATTGAGCAAATTCCACTTCTAGCTTTCTTTTTCCAAGAACGGGTGACCCAACAGTAGTAGAGGCTTGATTAGCACGTGTCATCATGTCCACACTACTTCTTGCACATCGCTGCTGATACAATATGAAGTACTTTCTCATCCATTCCAAGGCATACCTCACATAATTATTAGTCTTACTTGGATCACTGAACACCTTCTCAATGAAGAACTTCAAGTAGTCAGCCTTCCTTCTTGGATCCAAGGCAGTGGCAATGACTAAGACAACACTAAATGCAATTTCTTTCTTCTTTCTCTTGCGGTTAGCTAGTTGAACCAACTAGGATCCGTTTAGGTAGTTGGAATGTAGGGTCGCTTACAGGTAAGTTAAGAGAGTTAGTTGATACCGCGATTAGGAGGCGTGTAAATATATTATGCGTTCAAGAGACTAAATGAAAGGGTCAGAAGATAAAGGAGGTGGACAATACATGTTTCAAGCTTTGGTACACAGGGACAATCGCGAATAGAAATGGAGTAGGAGTTTTGATTGATAAGAGCCTCAAGAATGGTGTGGTGGGAGCGAGAAGGCAAAGAGATAGGATTATCTTAGTCAAGCTTGTCGTTGGTGATATGGTCTTGAACGTAATTAGTGCGTATGCCCCCTAAGTAGGCCTCGACGAGAGTGCTAAGAGACCGTTCTGGAAAGACTTAGATGGCCTGATTAGAGTTGTACCTAGTAGTAAGAATCTTTTTATAGGAGGAGATCTTAATGGGCATATAGGTACTACAAGCGCAGGTTTCGAGGTAGTTCATGGAGGTTTTGGGTATGGTAGTAGGAATCCAGAGAGGAGGAAGTTCTGGACTTCGCGGTAGCTTTTGACCTGATGATAGCCAACACTTTCTTTAGAAAGAGAGAATCTCATCTAGTGACCTTCAATAGCGGACAACACTCTAGCCAGGTTGACTTTGTCCTCGCAAGAAGAAAGGACAAACGAGCATGCTTGGGTTGCAAGGTGATACCAGGGGAGTGTGTTGTTTCTCAACATAAGCTTTTGGTGGCAGACTTTCGTTTTCAGGTGCGTGCCCGTAGGAATAAACAAGCTAAGATTGAAAGAACAAAGTGGTGGAAACTGAAAGGGGAGACGTCAGAGGTATTCAGGGAAAGGGTTATCAAAGAGGGCTCTTGGAAGTAAGAACAGGACATAAACAACATGTGGGAGAAGATAGCAACCAACATTCAGAAGATGGCCTCAGAGGTGTGTGGAGTAACCAAAGGAAGTAGAGGCGAGACTAAAGATACTTGGTGGTGGAACGAGGAAGTCCAAAGGACTATTAAGGAGAAGAAAGAATGCTATAGACGCTTGTACCATGACAGGAGTATGGACAACATAGAGAAGTACAAGGTGATAAAGAAGACTGCAAAGCGAGCTATAAGTGTGGCAAAGGGTAGAGCGTATGAGAATCTTTACCAATATTTGAGTACAAAGGAGCTCCGCGCTGGCGTTTGCGCAATGCAGCAGCGAAGGCCAGCAGCCCAGCACTGGCAGTGAATCGGGCCACGCGTGCCCTCGACCAGGCCTCCAGGCGCAAGCAGCCCAACTCAGCCCGTGAATACGTACGAAAATATTTTCTTGCACTTTCACGAATTTTGTAGTGTCGTTCTAAGTTCCAACTTAGACCACCTTCAAGATACTCTAAAATTTGGATTCTAAATCTTCAGTTTAGAGGCTCTCCAAAAAGTGTTTCTCTAAGAGCATCTTAAAGAGTCTTTCTAAAATTTACTCTCTAAATTATCATTTGAAGAGTCAATTAAGTAAAAATAGTTTTTCTATATCTTTATACCCTCCAAAAGTTTTTCTATATCTTATGCGCACTCTAGAGAGTCATCCTCATTCTCCATCTTTATCTAACGAGAAATCCAGAATAGAACATATGTCTATATATAAAGATCCATTTAAAGAGAATGTTGCAAGGTATTTTTCCCCCAAAATCTCTATTTCTATGACTTAGGAAAGATATAAAGAATCTTTTGGAGTTGCTCTAATATCATCTTCAATAATATTTCTAAAACTCACTCTCTAAATCATCATTTGGAGTCATTTGAATAAAAATTGTTTTCTATATCTTTTTACTTTCCAATAGTTTTTTTATATCTTGTGCACACTTTAGAGAGTCTAGCTGGCAAAAAATCTGTAATAGAGGATGATTATATTTTAGTAACCAATTAAAGAACTTGTTGGAGAGTATTTTTAACCAAAATCTATATTCTTAACAACTAGGAATGATACAGAGGATGTCTTAAAGTAATTCTAAAAAGTATGCATTCTTTAATAGAGGACTTCATTAGTGCGGGAGTAGAATGTGTGCATCCACCTTCCTTATCAGGCTTGTTTAGGTCTAGTGGGAAAAATTACATATTTACCATCATTACGATGTAAGTGGTATAAAGAATACCACGTCAGTGACTCATGTGTCAGTGACTCAGTGTAAGACGCGGAACGTAATAATGGTAAAAATGTAAATGCCCCGATCTAGTGAGAGTTTGTGCTTGTTACTCTTGGTGATCGGCATCACCTAGACGGCTTGGTGTGATTGAGAGCTTGGTAAGAGACCCAACTCATGGTATAAACGGTTGTCGGTGATTCAGCATGCCGGAGTGGCGAAGAATCAACCCATAGAGAGCATTTGGTCCTTGCGCGAATCAAGGGGAGCTATACCCTTGTACAGGTGCTCCAACAAGGATTAGTGGAGAGTGCCGGCTCTCCGATACCTTGGAAAAACATCGCCATGTTCATAACCCTTCTACTTTAGATTTGTGCAATTTACATTCATGTATCTACATTGCTAGGATTGCCATTCTAGCATAGGGTTGGAGGTTCGTTGCAAACTTTGAGCGGCAGGATAGAAAACACTATTAGGCATAAGATGTGAAATGGACTAAGTGATAGCTTTTAATTTTTCCAGAATTTTAGATTAGTCCAATTTAACCCTCTCTTGGGCATCTAGATAGCTTCAGCTACATGGAAAGGTCACTAAGGTCCTGTTTGGATTCAGCCAGAACTTGCCTCACATCGTCAGTGAAGAAGTTGGAATAGGTGATATGTTTATATTCGTTGCCCACGTGCCTCGTTATCCATGCAAGCAAGGATTTCCCTTGCTAGCTTGGATGAGTTGATCTGGTTGACCTGCGCTGGCAAGGTTCACCTTACTGAGCGAGGTTAGGCCAGGAAAGCTGACAATGGATGGTTGCTCCTCCTGCTGCCACCAGCGGCTTGCTGAATTGAACATGGAACTAGTCATCCATCGATGGATTCCGTTGGAGTTGCTCTCCATCCCAAAATAGATGTATTTCTAGCTATGCATCAAGATAAGTGCTTGTCTAGATACATAGCCAAAACTATATATTTTTTTGGACAAAGAGAGTATATCACTTCGAATTCACCAAAAAACTCAAATGCAACTGCATGAGTGCAGCAAGAAAATTATATCTATAATTCATAAATTAATTTATAAATAACATTTTCTTTAATGAAAATTCATTGCTATTTAACAAGATTAATAATGATTTCAAATATTTGAGAAAACATAATAAGTATTTGAGAAAACATAATGCTTTATTTGTGTTTGTATTTACATCAAAAACTTAAATACTTCGGAGGGTAACACATCTTCAAACATGGTGAGATTTTTTTTAGAAAAATGTCAAAATCATTATTAACATAGTAATTTCTTGGTTAGGAAAACAGAATATAGACCATGACAATAAATGTTATGTTCACAATACCAAAGTATAGCACCATTGGCAGCTCTCTCATTGAGCCATGTTAGTTTATTGTGCTAGCTAAAGTTAGCCAAAACCATGGCCACCAATTTCATGACCAAATTTAACCGGGCTAATGAATATAAGCACCTTTGGATGACAACGACACGCCCAAGATTTATGGGCACGAGCGTTTTTTCGAGCCTATGCCATTTCGAATTGAAAGATGACAACCCACCGGAAGTTTTAAAACCCGTCCACGTACACCTCGGCCGGGCAAATATTGGCAGACGATTTTGGGAATCAGATCCTCTAAAGTCGACCAAAATGACTCGTGTCTGCAGTCGACATGCATCTGGCCACTCAATCCCTATTGAACGGTGCAGCGAGAAATATCTGCTGTCCCACTCGGCTTGCTGGGCCGGCCCAATTCAGCACGACCCACGTAAGAGATGTGGCTGCGGTAATTTTTCTGGCACAAAGCTTCAATACTTTGGCGCCCGACTCATGTTTTTGGCACGAGCAGTGTAGGTCGTGCGGCGACGACCGCTCTTCGCTGGTGCTCTCCATCGATAGACTGAACTGGTGCCAAAATCTTTGCACTCATGTCATCTATTGCTGTGTACTTAAACTAGTATTGTTCTGATTTGATTGTTTTTCATCCTCCCTTATTGGATTGTGCTGGAATTGATCGATTGAAGGAAACCTGATATGGAAGGTTGAAGGAAGCACCTATTTGGTTGCATCAAATTAAAATTTGCATATTTAAGATGGAAGAAAATAGGCGCCTAATGTCATGGTTGTTTCTTTTTATTTATCTAATTAGGGTATATATTTTAGTTGTTCAATTTGTCGTCCAATATCATGCCATCTTTATTTGTTTTCTTGTAGGGAGGGCTTGTTTTCTAGTCTTTTACCTAAAGTTGGTATGGAGTTAACCACTATAGATGAGGCTGGGATGTTTTGGATTAGCTATGGGGTCAGAAAGGCTTTGAGGTGAGGAAAATGTACACAAACAAAAGAAAGTTAGATGGGAAGGTTAGTTCCTGCAGATATCACTACACCACAACACTAATATAGCGTCACATGTGTGTCGTTATAGGTATACTAATACCGTTGAACTGTTGGTCGGTATAGCTAGCCCATGGAGCAAGTGTCGGTAAATATACTTTTTGCGATAAACTATCGGTCGGTATAGATATTTACTTATAGAGTCGAACTTTGGGTCGGGATAGATTAGTAAAGAAGACGAACCATGTGTCGGTATAGGGGCGTGCCTCTGGCGGGCTCTTGAAATAAAAAAGAACCGTAGGCTGGAAATTGAAAACCATAGGCCCGTTCGCGGCAAA